CCTCAGTGGGCAGCCTCAGGTGTGAGGTCCGTTCGGCGGTGTGCCTCTTAATGGCGCCGTCGTCTGTAAACAGTATTTTTTGCCTGCGTATACAAAAAGGGGACCTCTAATTGTGACATAACTGTAATAGTATCATGGACTTTTTTGTACGTACTGATATCTTTATATATATAACTAGCTGTGCCCCGCGGTTTTACCCACGTTTTATTAGGGATATTATCCCGCAGTAAAACGTAGCCTATGTGTTAATCCAGGATGTCAGCTAACTCCATAACAAATTTTATTAAAATCGCTCCAGCCGTTTATACGTGAAGAAGTAACAAACATACACACTCACAAACTTTCGCCTTTATAATATTAGTGTGAAGTGTGATTAGTGTGATTCTTCTGTGAGTGTGTATGTCACTGAACTTCTCTTAAACGACTGGACCGATTTTCATGAAATTTTTTGTGTGTGTTCAAGGGGATCTGAGAATGGTTTAGATTCACAATTTTGTCCGCTGGACAACCCCTATTTTTTTTAGGGCGGTACGAAGTTCGCTGGGTCAGCTAGTCTATAAAATTTTAGTATATCATTTTGTTGAGGAGTTCGATGTCACGGATGGGAAGCGCGTTCGCCTGCGATCGTTGAAATTAAGCAACCTTCGCAGTGGTCAGTCATTGGATACCCATCCAATCGGTTCAGCGGTTTAAGCGTGTAGAGGTGACAGACAGACAGATACACTTTTGTATTTATAGTATGGATGGATGGCGGCCGTTTAGACCCTATGCTTTTTTGCCTACTTGATCTTGCACTAACTCTGAAAGATAAATAATAAAAATAAATATTTCCAACACTCACACCAATTAGCCTAGCCCCAAAGTAAGCACTGTAAGGCTTGTCTTATGGGATACTAGGGTAACGGTTAGAATACATATATAAATATATTTTCATATAAATACATATTAAACGTCCATGACTGGAGTACAAATACTCGTATTCATCACACATACATCTGCCCCCATCGGGATTCGAACCCGGGACCTCTCGAGTCGGCGACACCATGAAACCCGGCGTACAAACCACTCGACCACGGAGGTCGTCGATATTCATTACACGGAGTGAAAATTTTGTGTATATGTATATCTAGGCAAGGAAGCAGATGACGAGTCATTCATTACTAATAAAAATTAACTAGCAAACCAGTGAACCAAATGTTCACCAAAACCTGATATAAAAAAAAAATGTATTTAATTAATTGAGAACTTCGGAGATTTTGTGTGGTTTCGTTTGAAATTCGTGATTTCTCGAAAACCGGAAGTGCTACGTTACTCAAATCCGGTTTGTAGTCTTATCAGACTATTCTTAACTTATAACTTAAATATTCTCTTTATCTATCTCTTACGGTTTGGCCGCTGAAACAGCACCACAGACGGACGGACGGACGGACTTGTCTAATAGATAAGAGATAACCATTATCGTTAAATTACACTCCACCAGTCAAATATATCTCGTAAATGGTTTATCTCGAAAATACTTGAGATACGGTTACTAGCTAAACTGCTGACGCATTAAGTTCTGCGAATACGGATAATGACATTTTCTTTTGTACTTCTACATCAGGTAGGTTATTAAAGAGTTTGCGGCACGTATTTTTTTTATTCTAGAATTAAACATCTAGCAGTTAAATGCTTAAAAGCTCGGCCAAGTGAGAGTCGGATTCGCGCACCGAGGGTTCCGTAAAAACCTGAATTTTTAAAAATAATTTTTATTATATGATTATGATTAACTAAAAATTTACGGTTTTCGCAATTTTTCCTTTATCTGTAGGTACTATATGACGTTACTTCGTACCAAAGGACATTGCTCGTTCCCCATACATTGAATGGCCTATAACGCCCAGCAATGAGAAAATGCTACTTGTGTTCGGAATCATTCATAAACTCTAATTATACATTTGTTGAGATACGGACAACTTGAGGAACCGTGGCCTACTACAGAATGTATTAGATTTTGAGGTTATAATTATTATACTTAATCGTAAAAGATGTACACTTTATATATTCTGAATAGATTTAGTTTTTACCTCTATGTAAGCACTTAAATAATATGCATTAAATGAACATAAAATGCAATTAATAATAAAAATAATAAATGCTTATATTCATATGGGGCCATCCATAAATTACGTCACACTTTAAGGGGTAGGGAGGGGGTCGACGAAATGTGACATCGTGTGACAAGGGGTGGGAGGGGTCCTAAATTTCGTGACTTCACATTTCAAAATATATTAAAATCTAAGTGTTGAAACTATTACTTTACGAAAGCATTAACAACCCAAACGAGAACAAAGTGGTGCTATGCCAGTTATAAATAATTTAAAGGAGTGGGATCAATGTCCATGGACTCAAGATTATTAAGTTTGTATCTTTAATTTAATTATAATGCTATTAATATTTTATGTTTCGTTAATTTCTTTAATTAACATAGTCAATCACTTTTTGTTCGGTAATTTTTTTGTTTTGTTAATTGTTTGATTTGATTATAATAATAATGAAAAAACAATTAAGGTAAATGGAAATAAAACTGATTACAGAACCGCTGTTTTCATTCAATGATTTCTAAATGTAAATTTGCAAAATATGTGACGTCACACTAGGGAGGGGGGGAGTCTTACAAATGTGACCAGCTGTGACAAGGACGGGGGGAGGGGCAAAAAAGACATGAAATTCGTGTGACGTAATTTATGGATGACCCCTATTGATTTATGAGTGTTGTCAGTTGGCACCTATGATACCTATACCTACCTGTAGTAGGTAATAATAGATTTCTTTTCAAATGAAATGTTCAGTCTTTCCATTTACCTGTTTCTATATTTTACTATCGGTAATTAGGTATGTACCTGGTTATCAATATGATTTTCATAAAAATAAACAGATATTACATGGGATGGGAGTATAAACTATCTTTACATAATTTCAGAAATAATCTTTTTATAAATATAATATAAATACTAGTAATAAGTATTATTGACTAAGGTACCTAGTTCTATTTTTATGGTCGCCTATATTGCATTTATTAAGGTAAACAATCTTGACACAACTTTTTAACAGAATCACCCGTTTAATAATAAAATATTAACGAAGCCAATAAACTATTAAAATAAATCGTTATTATAGACCGAAACCTATTGAATCTAGTTATCAGTTGATTTTAATGCTGTATTTTCAATAAAAAGGAGTGCCAAGTTGGATGAACAGACTATAGTATCTAGTAACAGAACTTTAATTTTTTATTTTCTTAAACAGATTGTCCGTTTACAATGATTAATTGCTAATAAGTTAAAAAAATAATAGATAAATAATAGTGAAGGACATTCTTTTGGGCATGCTAGGGCCGATTTCGTCGATGTCCTTTCAAGATTCTAAGTTCACGAGAAGTACCCTGTAGGTTTTGATTCTCGTGCGTGATTCGAAAGTTTGCGGAAAGGAGATAGCTCAAATTGGCCTAAATACACAAAAAATATTGACATACACGGTAATTCATGAAGTAATTTATAATTTAATTTACAGTCATTAGATTTCAACGGACTCCTTTGTATAATTATATATATATTTACTTTAAAAAAGACATTTAATTTTACCGGTTTGGAAAACATACGAATCTTTTTTAATGGCTATGGTTGTAGTAACATTCAGCCAAAGACTGATCGAAGTTGTTTATATAACATAAAAACAAATCTATTTTGTAAAGATCGATAAAATAAATCATTTTTTTTATTACACTGTGGTATTAATATCCACATCTATATTATCATTTTCAAATGTGCTCAGACAATTATTATAGATGGTAGGCGACATCATAAAGTCTATTGCCATACATTTTTCGCCAAACACCTACATAAACACATTATAATCTGTATATATGTTAGACTTTAAGGTATGTATCTGTGGGCCTACGTTCCCTGACTATAAATTAATAAATAAATAAAATTCTAAGGTGTGATACACTAAAAATCTAAAATATGGTTATCTTAAAAACATAACAAAAATAATGAAGATACTGAATATATGGCTATAGAACCTAAATCTCTTCTAGCTTTCTTTGGTTAACGAGAGTTTAAAAATTCTCTCTAATATCAGCTCATTCACAATCATCACACAGTTTTTGTCACAGAGTACCTTATTATAACCGGAAATGACACCTGATTTTAAAAGTTACTCTTATGCATTAACTTTAAAAACAGGCAACTATCTGTTAATCTACATGCTCTATATACCTGAATCTAATCCATAATTTCAGTACTTGGCTTGATTTCCCTAGTTTACTATAAATTATTTGTTTTTTATTATTTTAATATGTTCAGTGTATATGGTTTATAGAAGTTCTCAGGGGTGTCCGTCAATAATATTCATTTCTACAGTAATTTATATATAATTTCGAATCTAGGAAACAATTTTTCATGATTATTGGTCTTTAGGCCAAACATGTATGGAAGCTGAACAATCTCCTTTGCGACTAAACGGACGGTAAATCTTTTGATTGCTTTGGCTTAGAAGTTTGATTTTTTCACAGCTCCAAGGGACAGTAGACCTGAGTATTAGATATGAATTTCAGTTTGATACGCGCGTTCCTAAGAAAAACGGTCTTGACAGACGCACGGACAGACGGACAACAAAGTGATCCTATAAGGGTTCTGTTTTTTCCTTTTGAGGTACGGAACCCTAAAAATAAAACATATAACTATAATTGCTATTATTCTTCTTTCAAATGTTTTAAACTTGTAAAGGTATTCATTTGACATTGCGGATTACCTACATTGCGAAGAGATGGCGCTGCCTTGTAGCCTAAGAAAGGCTAGAGAAAATTCGATACGGCCATCAGGGTCGCGGCAGTGCATTCGCCCGGATAGCGAAGGATGCTAGTTCGAATCTAGTTTCCTGCCTGTCCCTGTTATTTGAACCACTACAAATTATTATGTTCTAAATCTTTTTATTATAATTCTAAATCTCTGTTCCAGATTTATCCGAAGAGAACCGTGGTCTCTTGTCTTCTAGCCAAGCGTCTTCAGGCACCGATTTCCAGTCCACGGAGACCTTGACGGAATCCACCTTGCCAAAGACTGGCTTCGACTTCTTGGACAACTGGTAAATTTTCTGCAGTAAGAAGCCATACCCCATATCTGTTCTATTATGCTTAAAAAAAGTGTTCCCTCCTTCGTACAATCTGGGTTCCTTTAAGAGAGGCGTGAAGAAGCATTTTTGCAGGCCGGCAAGGTGAGGATGGTTGGTGTAGCAGTTTATAACTGCTGTACCAGCTATCCTCGCGTTTGGACTTTATCACCACTTAACATCAGGTGGGGTAGAGTCATTTACCTACCTAGCTATTAAAAAAAATAGTTGTCGAGAACTGGTGATTGCAACCTTGAGCCACCTAAACTTTATTAAAATATGCGGATTGTCGTACTCAGAGAGACACGATTAATTGTAAGTTTCATGAAAGTTAATGCTGCCTCTTTGCGATAGCAATAGAAGTATTTATTAGGAAGCACTCTTATCAGCAGTGCCGTCTTTGACCTATTGGAGGCCCTGGGCATATTAGGATAATGGGGCCTCTATGACTTCCGTTTGGTGATTTAACAGGAACTAGGGACTTTGTATTTGATCTGAGGGGGGCCCCTACCGATCCCGGGGCCCTGGGCACTTGCCCAAAGTGCCCACTGGGAAATACGGGTCTTCTTATCAGTTATAGGTAGCGGCAAACTTCTTCGGCAGAACCACAGACAAAAAAATTTGCGCAGTAGACGCTTTAGTGTGCAAGAATTGCTACTCCGCAATCTTCCTTGTCTATGACCGATGCTCAAAAAGTTTGCCGGGGTGTATAATTAGTAGAAATTCTTATCGGATTAAATTTCTTCTCTAATGATTGATTTTCATTAAATTTTTCCCCTTTTTATACTCGAGAAAAGTAGAATTTATTCTGGTTAATAAATTACTTTTTATGTAACGAGGTCATAGGTACTAAGAAACTTAAATAAAAAGTTTGATTCTGACGACGTAGCCTGTAAAGGCTGTAAATAAATAAAGTTTCGTGCATTAACCCGTAAAACTAGTTTTATTTAATGAGTGATGTGCGTGAAAACCTAAGAAACAAATAACTTAAATAAATATTGCATACAAAGAGACAGCATCAACTTTAATCGAACTTCAAAGTTTATAGGTTTCTCTAAGTGCGGGCGATGGACTCTGTGCAAAAAACACCAAGGTTGTACCCTAACTAAATCTATACGTAAGTTGGTTACACGTCGATTGAATCGATTGAAGAATTTCTACTAATTTTTATTCAATATTCGGATTAATGTATTCCGAATTCGTACGAGTGTAACTTTTCATTTCTCGACTACACGACATTATTGATGTGTAGCTGCTAATAAATTATATTTACCTTGAGGCTATGCCATGTCAACTAGTACCCTTAGCACGAACCAATAGGGGTGATGACGGGGTACAGTAAACGAAATTCTATTTAGTCCGTCAGTTAGATGATCAAAAAATAATGGACACGTATTTTTTCTTTGGGCAATCAACCAAAAAAATGACAAAGTTATAGCGCGTCAAAGTTTGGGAGTAGGGGCTCGTGACGTCACTTTTGAGTGAATTTTCACTTATAAGTGTACTCAAACGTGACGTCATGCGACTTTTCAAATCAATATACATATCTCTGCAATGTTTATATTATGTGAAAAAAGAAAAAATACGCGTCCAATACTTTTTGATAATCTACCTGATAAACGAAGAAAAAAAAATTAGTCATCATCCCTATTCAAAAAGTTTTGTACGGCAATTTAAACAGCGCCACAACGCACGTAACGGGAACTAATAATCTTCCATACGCAACTTCTTGACCCTTGACGCGCATATCATCATCATCATCATCAGCCTATTAATGTCCCCACTGCTGGAACACAGGCCTTCCCTATGAATGGAATAGGGAGTTTGGGCCATGACCCACCACTGCTAACGACCGCAGATGCAGCCGGGACCAACGGCTTAACGTGCCTTCAGAAGCACAGAGGAGCTCGAGATAGTAAATTTTTGGTCACCCATCCAATGACCGACCACTGCGAAAGTTGCTTAACTTCAACGATCGCAGCCGAACGCGCTAACCACTTGCGCTATCGAGCTCCTCAATATATCACGCGCATATATCGAGATCGAATTCGATATTGGTTCGTGCTAAGGATATAGTGTGCAATAGTGTTTTGTGTGTGTTAATATTATTATTTGTAATGTCTCACAACCGCAGGAACCTAAAAGTAAATAAAACTAGTTTTTACGGGTTAATGCACGAAACTTTATTTATTTATTGACGTTTCGTAGCCTTTACAAGCTTCGTCGTCAGAGTAAAACTTTTATTCAAATAAATTTATTCAAATAAAAGTTTTATTCTGACGACGAAGCCTGTGAAGGCTACGAAACGTCAATAAATAAATAAAGTTTCGTGCATTAACCCGTAAAAACTAGTTTTATTGAATGAGTGATGTGCGTGAAAACCTAAGAAACAAATAACCTAAAGTACTTATTTAATACGGCCAATATTTGCCGCGCTTTTGTAGCGAATAATCTATTGCCAATGGATGCGTGATAATACCATAGATAAAGGCAATATGCTGAGTATTCCTGTAAAGTGAAACTACACTACTATCGACACTTTTATATTGTAATTGAATTTTTCTCTTTTGAGTTGTCAATTTTATGCATGTGTCGCTGTCTCTTATGTGTATAGATTATAATTACGAAGTTTAATTATAGCGCCATCTGTATTTTAGATTTAGTATTAATACTCGCCAATGTTTGTGTTGTAATAGGCCGCGTATTCATTAAGTAACATTTGTTGATAAACTATTGTTTATAAAGAAGTTTACCGTGAACACTGTCTCTGAAACTTGGCCGTCCACACTTTTCAGTTGTAGCTAGGATGTCGCCCGAGGAGGTAGTGTCGCTATGTGCTGCTTACGTAGTAATTCCTGACAGTCATCATCATCCTATTAATGTACCCACTGCTGGGGCACAGGCCTTCGCTATGGATGGAATAGGGAGATTGGGCCATGACGCACCACGCGGGCCCAGTGCGGATTGGTGGGTGTTAACGACTGCAGATGCAGCCGGGAGCAACGGCCTAACGTGCCTTACGAAGCACGGAGGAGATTTACTCGAGATAGTAATTTTTTTGGTTACGCATCCAATGACCGACCCCTGTGAAAGTTGCTTAACTTCAACAATCGCAGCCGAATGCGCTAACCTCTTGCGCCATCGATTCGTGACAGTACGAATACCTAAAGGAAAAGCTCTATGAGCATATTGAAACTTGGTCATTTGAACACACTACTTCCATGCTTAAATAAACTATAAACTTCCCACAACTTTGTTTATAAACTAAATGTTTCGTCTTGCTCTCCAGTCACAGTGGAGAATACGGCAACATTTATCTCAAACAATGTTTCATCACCTTTGTTTATGAACTGTTGATAAACTGTTTAACAGAGAGATGATGTAACATTCTGAAACATTATTTATAAACGTATTTATCACGGAGAGTGTTCTGAGGAATTGTTCGGATTAATGCCAGCTGCTGCATTTCGCCATCGTACATCGCGACAAAAATTTCATCCCCATCATCTTGATGCGTGGCTATTCACAACCGTGCGTTTTTGTCGAAATTTTTTACCACGTACGACAAAACTGTGGAATATATTGTCGCCAGCAGTGTTTCCGGACCAATACGACCCAAAAACCTTCAAAAAAAGAGCGTACTCCTTCCTTAAAGGCCGGCATCGCCATCCATCAGGTGTACTCGTATGCCACCTATTACATAAAAAAAAAACAAATGTTTCTCAATGAATACGCGGCTTTAGAGAGTTTTGTATCTGCGACCGTTCTACACTATTTTTAACCGACTTCAAAGGAGGAGGTTATCAATTCGTCAGTACATTTTATTCGTTCGTCTCGTGTTTTTGAGAACATCATCTTGGAAGTGATGAAAAGAGAAAATGGCGGAGAACCCTAACGGATGCAACTCCCTTGATTAATATTTGGTAATCTCAGAATTAAGACTGTTTATTTATAATTTGTATCCTTTGTTTTACTATTAAAAACAGTGAGAATTATTTGTACATTAAACCTCTCTTTAGTAGAGGCAACTTTTACCAAGGATGTATGTAATAGATTCTGTTGCAATATTATTTTAAGTTTGGAGATTTTGAAACTGTTTCGTAGGGGAAACCTATTGATAAGAAAAACACACTGTAAAATTGGTACTACATAGCAATTATATAATTAAGAAATGCATTGCATAACATTTGCCCTTTTATTCCCATTCGCCCCCGCGGGTATTGCCACCGGTCTAGTACCCGTTGGAACCTCAAGATTCGACCCGAAAGCAAAAAGTGCCCATTGGACCTTTTCAAAAATTTTATTTTTAATGTGCCCATTGAACCTCTTTTTTTGTGCCCATTGGACCTTCAAGATTAGACCTTACTGCAACTGTACCCACTGAGCCTTTTGTATATCCCATTCGACCTCTCTAAAAGATTATATAGAAAGTGCCCATTGGACTGCTTTTAAGGACCCCTTGGACCTTATTCAGTTTTGTTAAGAATACCGGAGGCAAATGGGAATTTAGTAATTGCCCTGCTTCATTTTATTTTTCTTATTTGCCACTGGAGGCAAAGGGGAATAAAGTCATTACCCCCGTTTCAGTTTTTTATTCCCATTTGCCTCCGGTGGCAAACCCCGCGGGAACGACTGGGAATAAAGGCATTTGCCAATGTTTTAGAACAAAATACAACATCTTCATGTTACCATAAGTTATCTCGCTACATATATATACATATAAAGTTATAAATGCTGTGTGGATCCAATTTAAATATGGTAGGCAGCTTTTGAATGCTCTTTTTTTAATAAAGCGCTGTAATGAAAACAATGGCTGCCGTAGTATTCGTTCATACGGCAACAGGTTTTTTTATCGATCACCCTTGTATTATAAATCTTGGGCGTTTGACTTAAAGTTGAAAATACAATTCCGTGACTCTTTAGTGTCATTTCAGCGCCTTATTGCGAGTCTAATAGTAAATACCCCTATGATTTTGGAAGATCTCATGTATCTGCTTAAGATTTAATAAATTCACGTAATACTTATATTTTTCCTAGAGGTTCAGGAACTATTTGGACTAAATTCTCAACCTGGCTTTGTTTATTATTCAAAAAATATTTTTTTAACACAGAGGTTTCTTAAAAAAACAATATAAATACATGTGGGAAATAAAATTACCAATACCCAGTCAGTGGAACCTGTGGGATAGAAATTACCAGTAGTCCCGTCTTGGTAATTCGCCACTTCAGCACTGGGAATAATATTAAATGAAACTATTTAAAAATGCACTCTCTTATCATTTACTCTCATATGAATGCATTTAAATTTTGTGCAACTAATTTATTTAATATACTTTGTGTACCGGATTTGTTTATTGATTTTTACGTGTATGTATGTAATCCAGAATATATACTCTTTTGCTTTTATAAAAGGTTTGTTTCATTTTTCCTTTAATCTTTTCACGGTTATTTTCAATACTATGTCTATGGTTTCAATAATCAGCCTCCAGTAAAATGTAATGATGATCTGGTTCCGTTTCTAAGCGACAGTTGATAAATATAATCTAAACTAGCGGCCCGCCCTCGCTTCGCTTCGGTATAGAGCTGAAATGTAGACTTCAGTTTTTGTTCTCAGGCTTGTATTATAATCTATGATTCTTCTTGCTAACTGCATGCAAAGTCTTAGCCCGATCGGTTTAAAATTGACAAAGTTTCATACAAACTTTCATTCCCTATTTTATCCCCTTGGGGGTAGAATTGATCAAAATCCTTTCTTAGCGGATACTTACGTCATAACATGTACCTGCATGCTACCTGCATTTCAGCCCGATCCGTCCAGTGGTTTGGGCTGTGCGTTGATAGATCACTGTCGGTCAGTCAGTCACCTTTGAGTTTTATATATATAGAAGATAGATAGATATACTCCTGGGCACATCTATGAACAAACCCTTAGCAGACTAAATAGGGACAAACTTCGCAAGATCACAGGAAACCTGACTGGTCACCTATATACAATAGGAGTAACAGACAGCCCCCTATGTGGAGGATGCATGGAGGCAGAAGAAACGCCATAGCATGTCATCATGGAATGCAGGAGTGTGGCCGATCAACGGGCACGACCTCTAGTCGCCAGAATCGTTTCCGGAAGCTTGCAGCAGTCTACCAAGGCTGCTTTCCTTCTGGACTAATAAAGGATGGCTGGAGTAAACGGGAATGTTTCGTGACACGCACAATGGTCCAATAATTGGGACTAAGTGCGGAAACCGCCCTGAAAAACTAAATTATTTATCTATCGGCCGACCAAGCATTTGAAGTTTTTACGTATATGGTTTTGGCGGCCTCTAACTAAAAATTACATTGAGCAAAAATTACACAATTTTGAAGCCGACTCATTAACAATCTTTTTGGTGTGATTTTCAAAATATGTTATTACTGCTCAATCTAATTTAATTCTAGTTTTGCTACAGACCATTGAGAATTATAGTCTCTGCGGAAAGAGAATGGGCGTGGCGAAAACCGGAACTAACATTAAGATTTTTATTTGGCAATCAAACCCAGCAATCTGTAAAACGTCAAAGTTTTGTATTGAGACGGATTTGTTTGTTGTTGTGATTTCTTGCGGTTTTTTGTATTTAATCATGTCTAAAAGGGGTAAAACCTTACAAATACGAAAGAAAAGCACTACAGCGCCCTCCAATCTAAATCCCATTCTCTTTCCGCACAGACTCTAACAGTTATGACGCGAAGTGGGCCGGTAGATGAGTCTGGTGGAAGTATAATAAAAATATTTAGGTAACAAAGTTCTAATACGCCTATCTCTTACTGGATATAATAATAATAATATTTCCAACACACACCAATTAGCCTAGCCCCAAAGTAAGCACTGTATGGCTTGTGATATGGGATATTAGGGTAACGGGTAGGATACATATACTGTACATGTATAAGTGTATTTATATAGAAATACATATTAAACATCCGTAGCTGGAATACAAATGCTCGTATTCATCACACAAACATCAGCCCCCACCGGGATTCGAACCCGGGACCTCTCGAGTCGGCGACACCATCAAACCCGGCGTACAAACCACTCGGCCACGGAGGTCGTCAATCGTATGCAGACGGGACCAATGATTAATCGTGCTTTCCGTCACCCATCCAATGACCGGTCATTGCAAAAGATGCTTAATTTCACGATTGTATTCCAAACATTTACCATATTGTGGTAATGGTAACCTACCATTACCTCTGTGCCATCGAGCTCCTCGAAGTTTTCTTAGTAAATGGCAATTAGTATTTTTTTAACTCTGCTTATTTATCAACTGAATACATGAAAAAGATTTAACTTAAAAAACAACGAAAAAATTGTGTGCACGGAGCACACATCTGAAGTGAAATTTCTATTCTTTAATAACCTAACATTAGGCGGTGCATAAGGCATAGGGGAATGGAGCAGCGCACGCGCATACATACTTAAAGAGCCCTTTTACAAAATTGCGCTGCTGCCGTACTGATCGGCGCGTAGGTAGATTTGCACTAGTATATATTGCATTTAACGGGTGATGTTTCGAGTCTTTTAAAATAATTATTAATGAACTAATTATTAAAATATATACTTATTTCAGTAGTTCAATGATGGTAGATTAGTTTTATGAAAGTTTTTGATAGTAATTCTGTTTAATTCAATATCAAAATACGAGGTAAACCTGCATTATTTTTTTGGGAAAACTCACGGAGGTTAGATGTTTTTTTTTGATAATTAATGAGATGGAAAATCGAAATTCTAATACATTATGTTACAACAAAAACATATTTCTGATGTCGTAATTAATTTGATCTAATTTATTGAACATTATTGAGAGATTGAGGCGTTTGAAGTTGTGCATATTATCGTTATTTCCCTTAACTAGCTGCAGTAGCACGATCAGTACAAAAAAAGGAAAATAGTATTTGCAAATATTCTACATTAACTTACAATAGGAAGAATAAATCTACTGTTTACTTCTATGGGAAATAGTCAAAATCTTTTCTAAGGGCGTAAACGAGGCGCTCAAAAATTACGATTTTTTGCAAAAAATGTGAAAGGGCTCTTAAACATAGTCGTGTAACGCTCGTAACGCATTTCCGTTTCATCTTTTCCATAGGATTTTTCCATTTACACCCCGTTCCAAAATAAGTTTCACTTCAATTAGAGTAGCATTTATACATGTGACGCTTACGTCATTGTTTCATAGTGACAGTCGGTAATGTTTAGAGCATACGATAAAGGAAAACCGATGACAATCGGTAATATTAGAGAAAGAAGTGAAAAAAAACACTAGACATTTTCTTAAACAAAATTTTATTCAAACTTAATACACCAAACCATGTTTTACACCTTGCATTATATTTTAAACTTACTTAATATATATATATATACTAGCAAACCCGGCGAACTCCGTTTGGTGATTAAAAGAAGTTTTTTTTTTAAAGTGGAAATCGGTTCGTGCGTTCTGGAGTTATAGCGTCAGGAAGGAAAACCCGACTTATTTTTATATAGTAGATATATATTTAAACTATGTTTCTTGAGAATCTTCTTATACAATATAATATTGTTGTTGTTAGCAAATACAATATATTCTTTTTTGGGAAACTAAAATCATTTTTTTAGTGAAATTTAAACGCATCAGTTATATAAGTTTTTTTTACATGTAAGTACCTATTTCCATCAATATATTTTATATAAACACAAAAAAAAAATCTTTACTTGGTGAATTTGTTAAACTATTTGACATCGTTATAATTTTGTATGAATCGCATATATAAGTAATATATAAAACTATTTTCATAGAAAATTTAAACACATAACAAATTTTATTTTTTTTACGTTTAGTACCTATTTTTTTTTTTACATTAAATAGGCTTAGGTACGCTTGACGGCCACGCGCCTGATGTAGAGCGACTTTTGCCTAAAATTTTTTTTAAACACTAAAAAATATATTTCACGTTTTTCTTAAACTATATGACATAGTTATATATGTATGAATCGCATATACTAGTAGCCTGAGATGATCATTCCTTTCTCAACTTTGGCTGCCTCTTCTTTGCCCACCAAAAGCTCAATGAGGGAAAGACCGAACCAATAGGCAGTGCCTGGCCCCTAAAACATATAGAAATACATATATGTTATATTGTTTTAAACTTACCTGGTCACTAATATTACAGTTATTTATGTCATTTACGGGATTGTTACCATGTGTAACATAAATTACCTTTAATTATGTGACCATCACTGTATATAATGTTTTATATGAAGTAATAGTTATTTATGATATTAGTGCGGTAAGTTAGTTAGTGATTTTCAAAATATGTTATTACTGCTCAATCTAATTTAATTCTATTTTTGCTAGAGACCATTGAGAATTATAACAGTTATAACACGAAGTGGGCCGGTAGATGGGTCTGGTGGAAGTATAGTAAAAATATTTAGGTAAAAAAGTTCTAATACAGTAGGGCCTCGTTAATCCGGAGAGGCAAAAACAAGACCCTTTCCGGATTATCGAGGCGTCCGGATTATAGTATGCCATATTAAATGTTAATAAAACACATGTTTAACCTTAGTTTCTTTAATCAATTTTTAAATTATAGCATAAAGACAAAATGTGCAAAAACCACGTAAACAAAGCATGTTCTAAAACAGGATTTTCCGATTTCTTCAGTGTTTTTCGTGCACCGGGACCACGTTCTGTTAGGCTAACAAACTTCAAGAGTTTGTCTTTGTTTTTCTTTATGTCGCCTACAGTTGACCTGCCTATACCAAACTTCCGAGCAATGACAGGGTAGCTGTCACCCTTATCTAACATTTCTATAATCCGCAATTTGTCTTTTATTGTTAATGTCGAATGTTTACGTGGCGGCGCCATGATGATAGCGAGCGCACTTAATTGACACTACGTATTACACGAAAGGCGATAAACATTAGAAAGAAAAATCATTTAATGGCCTTAACACACAAGTATATAACAATAAGAAATTATATAAGCACCGATAAAAATAAAAACAAACAGACAACAACAATATACAGAAAGAAGAAAGGCCAATTAGGACCCTACCTCAGCTTAATGCTGTTACAATGGGACGGGAATATTCCCACCGTAACAGCGCTGGTATTCTGGCACATTAGACTGACGGCGCATTGGCTCATGACAGCCCCCGCACCTACACCCCGCCGGGCCTCCCCCGCGAATCCCATTGCCCGGCCGGATTACAGGGATCACCGAACAAGCGGGAGTCCGGATTACCGAGGCCCTACTGTACGCCTATTTCTTACTGGATATGCAGCCGGGACAAATGGTTAATCGTGCTTTCCGTCCGGAGCATGAGATAACAAATTTTTTGTCACCCATCCAATGGCCGGCCATTGCAAAAGATGCTTAATTTCACGATTGTATTCCAAACATTTACCATATTGTGGTAATGGTAACCTACCATTACCACTGTGCCATCGAGCTCAAAGTTTTCTTAGTAATAGTTTTTTATGATATTAGTGCGGTAAGTTGGTAGACGAAGTCAAAGTTTACCATAGTCACGAGTATGTTGAAACCAATTCCGAAAGAATGTAATACAACGTTTTTCAACACATTTTCGAGAAAACAGTACTTATACCTAGTTTAAGTAATGAAGCAAACTTTTTCTAATAAGAAAATGGTGCGCATTTCCAATGAGGGCTATCGCGTAAGAATCCGCCGCTAGAGGCGCTAGTGTAGCGTGAGGTCTATGTCAAATGTTATTGCTTGTTAGTTGACTACGCGGGTTTATTTCTTATTAAAATAATGTTGTGAATAATTGGTAACAATTCGGCTTAATTATGGCAAATATGAGTTATTTAGAGTAAATTTGAGCTTAGAAAAATGATTATGTTCCCATTTTTTCCGAATAAAACGGAACTGCGCGTCACTGTGGCATGGCCTATTATGTTTAGGATATGGTTCTTTTGTGTTAAAATACGATCTAAATGTAACCTTTGATTTCATGTACGTATTAAGAAACTTTAAAAGTTACAATTTAGGGCTTTACTCAACAGTGGCGCAATCTGGTGAGGCAGAAAACGGTAGCCCTCATTGGCGTCACAGAGAGGCAAAGGTATAGATTAAAAGCGCTTTCAAGAAGGTTCGTGCGTGCAAGCGTGCGGTAAAATGTTTTATAACACATTGGCTCGTAAAGCGTCTCTTATTGCACCAATTTCAATATCATATCTATCACATTACACACGCGTGCGGTAATGTTAAGTAAAACGCACGGCTTATTATGTTCCGTCTAAAAAGGAACGATACTTTCTTAAATCTTAGCAAAGAGTTTTTATGTCAGAAAGGTAGCCAACATTTTCTTAATAAAATTAACTTTGGGAGATAAAATATAATATATAACCATTTAATTCTATAATTTGATTCATTTTGACATAAAATTACAACCATGTATCGGTAACAAATTCACAAAAATGTTAATTTACTTTATTAGTGACACTGGCTGTTTTTGTTCCTTTACCTAAAAAAAGCGTTTATGCGCGCGCATCGCTAATCGGTGCAAAAGTTATTTCTTTTTCTTTTCGCTGTATTGTTTTTATATTGAAAATATTGTCAAGTAGCAACGAATTTATTAATTTGACACCGCCAAAAGTCGAAAAAGGCTACGCTAAAAGCCTCTTGCCCGAAAAATCCACGGATAGATACTTACAGTCAAGCGTATCAAAATTTCATCTTATGGAAAACAAACAAAGGTGCAAATTCATTTTCAGAAAGTACGTACGTAGGTAGTATTATTTCCTCGCAAATGTGTTATAAAACGTCGTATGACATACGTGCGGTTTGATTTATTTTGACGACCTCCGTGGCCGAGTGGTTTGAACGCCGGGTTTCATGGTGTCGCCGACTCGAGAGGTCCCGAGTTCGAATCCCGGTGGGGGTAGATGTTTGTGTGATGAATACGAACATTTGTACTCCAGTCATGGATGTTAAATATATATTTCTATATAAAATATATTTATATATGTACAGTATATATATTCTATCCGTTACCCTAGTATCCCATAACACAAGCATACTTTGGGGCTAGGCTAATTGGTGTGAGTGTTGGAAATATTTATTATTTATTTTATTATTATTATTATTATATTTACAGCCTTTGCCTTCTTATAGCCCTCACCTACGGCTCGGGCTAACAATATCGCCTCGGCTGTAATTCTCAACTTACCGCACTTATATCATAATGTACTTATACCGCACGTTCCGTTGTATGACCCCTAATACTGAACTTTCCAACAATGTATACAACCTCCATAAATGCATTTTTTGAGCAAATGTGTTGCAAAGAAAATTAAAGAGAAGGGAAGGTCCAAAACAATATATTAAAATTTCTAACATTAATATCAATGAGGGCTACCATTTTCTGCCTCACCAGCCATCTGGCCACTGTTGAGTGAGGTCCTACATTGTAACTTTTAAAGTTTATTAATATGCACATGAAATCAAAGGTTACATTTAGATCGTATTTTAACACAAAAGAACCATATCCTAAACATAATAGGCCATGCCACAGTGACGCGCAGTTCCGTTTTATTCGGAAAAAATGGGAACATAATCATTTTTCTAAGCTCAAATTTTTAATAACTGACATTCATTGCCACATAACTTATATTAAGCCGAATTGTTACCAATTATTCACAACATTATTTTAATTAGAAATAAACCCGCGTAGTCAACCAACAAGCAATAACATTTGACATTTCGGAGACCTCACGCTACACTAGCGCCTCTAGCGGCGGATTCATACGCGATAGCCCTCATTGAGGTCATGAGAACCATAGTGGCTTAACTCATTTTTTAACCATAGTGCCCTAGCTTACTTAGGGTTAGTATGGTACTTCAAATTTAGATCACAGACTAAAACCGTAACGGTGATTATGCTGCCATCTAGTGAATATTCGTTGTATCACTTTTAGACCACTCTGGTTCTATCAAAATAATCAATTTGAACTGGAAACAAGCATAAACTCAATATTGTAAAAAAATGAGTTAGGCCACTATGGTTCTCATGGCCTCAATTAGCCTAGTACCAAAGTAAGCACTATAAGGCTTTGGTTATGGGATACTAGGGTAACGGATAGAATACATATACGTAATGTACATGTCGTGGCCATATCGTAGATTTGTTCACTTCATGAAATGCTCGAGAATTTCATGAAATGGTCACATTTCATGATGTGGCCAACTTAATTTGATCAGATCATTAAATCGTCAACATTTAACGATTTGGTCATCCACATTTGGCCGGATCGTAAAATTAGGGTCTCCATAAAATATTTATTAAAAATCCAGAATATGTAAGAACTTGTTTATTGTTATTTAAGACCGAATGACACAAACAAATTTAATCAAATTTTTGTAACAAAATAAACAAATTAAAGTTTTTTTTCCTAAATTAAACATCAAACATGTCAAGAACTTACACATTTATATTTGGAAAACTATCAAATATTTAGAAATAATAAGGTAAAGTACAGTTTTACAGTACATCTTTGTACGGCATTGATTCTCATTCGCATTTTGTACCTCAACCGCAGTTTCCAAAATGTCATATTTTGGCAGCCAGTAACAGTCCATAGATTTCTTTTGCGTAGTCACCCTTCTCTCCTTAATTTGTTTCGTCGAAAACCCTTTTGTAAACTTTCTTCCTCATTAAACAACAAATTATGCACTTTTTCACTGCGAGAAACAACATTGTCGGCAGCGGCCGCCATATAAATATATAAACAAAGCGCTTGCAGCGCCTCTACCTCTACTCTCTATTTTGAATTTACCGCGTAAAATTCGTATAATCGCCCATCGCCTTATTTTAAATTTAATAGTTAAATTGGCACTTTACTCATTTCCTTTTCCCATCTCCCTCCTGCACATACCTATCTCGCATGCAAGAGTGAGACGACGAATGTCCACTGGGGACATCTAGCGGGTGTTATAGTTAACATGCTTCTTAGCAAATTCGCACCTTTTGTTAATGGCTGCCGTAAATCGCGCTCTTCGTAATTAATTCGTTTGATAAACAAAAACTATAGTTCGAGTGATTCTCATTGTGAAAATAGAAGTGCAAGACTACCCATTTGGTGTTAACCATAAGAATATCAACCGGCCACTAACCCAAGTTCGGTTTTGGATAGCCGGCTCAACGCGTCCACCTCAGGAGCTTCTGGACTGGCCGTTGATTCAAGGTATTGTGCAACCTTCCTTATTGGTTTCGAACTATTCCCTTTTGTTTTAATCCACGCAGTTCGAAATCTCCTTTCTTTGATTATTGTGCAAATTTTAAATTTACAGTCCATTATAAAAAACAAATATTTAGCATCACCCGCGCAACCAGTAACTACTTTACAATATGATCAAATAATTTTTGCCATTTCATGAAGTAGCCACGCGTTTAGTTGGCCATATCGTGAAACGATTTCTCATCATTGATCTGCCCAAACCACATCATGATGTGGCCAATAGATATTGAAACATTTCATGAAATTCTCGAGCATTTCATGAAGTGATGAAATCTACGATATGGCCACGACATACATATATAAGCATATTTATATAGAAATACATATAACACATCCATGACTGCAGTACCACTCGTATTCATCACACAAACACCTGCCCCCACTGGGAATCGAACCCGGGACCTCTCGAGTAGGCGACACCATGAAACTTGGCGTACAATCCGGTCACGGAGGTCGCCCTTAAAGGACGATTTCTGGGATAAAAAAACTATCATTTTTCCTTTCCCAGTACTCAAGCTATCTATATAATAAATGTCATTAAAATCGATTCAGCAGTTTAACGCCTCGGCTGTCAAGCCATCTACTTTGTTTTTCACAGACGGAAAATCAAAAAGATTTCCGTCCGTTTCTTATTATTCGAATTTTAATGTACATCCAGGCTTCATTTATGTCTTAAATCAATCCTGAATAGTTTCTCTACAAATTTATCTTTAGATTAGATGTGTTAATTAAATATGATAAAATGAAAATATTTTTTTCTCAGCTCGTGGCAGAAATCATCCACTTACACCCACAAGGGGTTAAACGTCAAGAGGTAACAGACAGACACACATTCACATTTATAAATTAGTAGGATTTTTAACTCACCCTGCTGGTGACAATATTCCCGTCTACCACGACCCTCTCCCCTTCTACATATTTGTAGTTACCAGTAATCTTGTCCTTGGTACTGGGGTATGACGTCACACGCTTCCCTTGGGCCACTCCGTGGGCCACGAATGCCGTTGGCGCTGTTATAAATAACACAAAATATAAATAAATATAAAAATCATCAACATCAGCCTATTAACCCCTGGTCTGTGTTTTTCACCACACAAATTTAATGCCAGAAAATCAACAAATTTTCCGGCCAATTTTCCTCTTATTATTTGAGTTCTACTGTACATCCAAGCTTGTTTTTTTTTTTATTTGAATTGAAAATCCATTCTGTTTTACTTAATTCATTTTTATTTAGTATCGATCCAATTTTTTATATCTTAGGTTAAAGTTAGGAAGGAGATTATTTCACTTATAAAATGACAAGCAATAGGCATTCTGTTAAAAAAAAAATATCGAAGAAAAATCGACCCAAAAAGAAGTTATATTTTTTTAAAGTTGTCACATCGTTGAACTTAAAAATAACGAAAAAAAATTCTAACTCGAAAACTACGCAAAGTCTTAGAACATACATGGGGGTTAAAATGATAGGTATGGTACTCCGCTATCACCTCGCTCTGGCTTGACACCCTAGAAGAAACACCCTGTATATGAGTGATATCCATTCCCCTATGCCTTATACACCGCCTAATGTTAGGTTATTTAAGAAAAGAAGTTTCACTTCAGATATGTGCTCCGTGCACACTAATTCTTCTAGATATAAGGATTGATCATAGTCCCAATTCTTACCAGCACAAATGGCAGCAACGATCTTGCCAGCCTTCTCGTGTTCTTTCAGCAGGGTACCCACTGCACTGGACTTGGACAGACGGTCTGAGCCTTCCAGTCCACCAGGAAGAATCACCTGAGTACAAGGGACAAATTCTTAATCTTATTGCTTGACTTTGCCAGTTATTTGACACTTAAGAGCCAACGATATTAAATACCCTAGATACACCACGAGCGCTGAAAATGTGCCTCAATCAAGAAGTGCTTGAACTCCACTCAAGCACTTCTTGGTTCACAGTCACGCGAATTATAACTTTTAAGTTTAAATAGAACTTTTTAAAAACTTTTAATTAATAATAAATGGGTGAGTACCGATTTTGGTGGATGCTCAATGACTTCTGAAGCCTGGGCTGCGAAGCTCCGGTGAGGTGTCTGTTGGTGTCAGCATTTCAGCCTGCGCCGCCCGCTCTCCTTATTATGACGTCACAGGTAGGTCCATACATAACACCTCCCCGCCGAGTGTGAAGCCTCTTTTTTCAATTTCTTGTAAAAAAGGGCTGGTTCGTCTGTATTTCTATATTTTCAGGTTGTTGGGTGGAAGTCTTCTTCAAGAGAAATCGTTTGTATGCCCAGTAGGTGAGTATTATAATAAAAACGATGTAAAGTGGCGTATTCCAATAATAGTGAGTATTTGAAGGTTCTGGTTCCAAAATTATGGGCGTTTCCTTATCTATAAGATTTTTTAGTTTGTAGAGCTGACTCATAGGGACTTCCTCGATTTTCAGCGGCTGGTTTGCATTTTTAATAGTGATATTAGAGAGTTCAAATGACAGCAGCTTCACAGCGTGACCTCTAAGTTTATTTTCGGCGTTCTGAATGCTATTCGTTTCAGTAATGAGTTTACATCCCTTGGGAATCTCTACCAGGTAAGTGCCTTGTATCGACTTGAAACTTTCCTCGGCACAAATTAAACTTATTTTCGTTTTTAGTGGACACGTAATGAGGTAATGATAATCATCAATTTTGTCAATAATTTCGGTTATAGCTTTATATTGTATATATGTGCATTTGTCTGTTATTGTTTGTTTCAGGATCAGTGTGTAAATACAGTCGTTGTTCCTTTGTGTCTTCGTAAAGCTAATCCTCTTGCAATAATAAATATCTTGAAATTTGTTGCATTCTTTGTCCATGTACCAATATTTGTCTTCATTCATGGCCAGATAAGGTAAGGTGGGGATTATAAGGGTACTATTATAGGTAGGAGATGGGTACAGGTGATAATAGTCATAAATATCGCTATACATAATAGGGATTTTCAGTAAAAATACTAATGTGTTGTCAGAGTAGTATGAACCAGTCTCTATCAAGTCATAATAGTTTCTATAGTTAGTATGTTCGTCGAATAAAAGTTCCTGGGGCTTATAAGTTTGTTTTAGGATATTATACATGTATAGAATATCGTCGTGAGATAATATACTATGGTGCGTTATGTGTAATTTGGAAAAGGCTATCGAATTTTCTAACGAAACTAATGTCTCATATATGGAGTCCAAGTTTCCATTAATTATGGTAAATAAAGTATTTATTTTGATATAATCAGTCAGTCTATAGTTGGTCATGTTAATTTCAGTTGTGATTTCATTAATTTTGCGATAAATTTTATACTGATTGGAAGCAATTTTCGAAATCGTAGAGTTAAAGGATTCCAAAATTCCGTAATTTAAACTTATGCCTGAATTATATTTATCCAAAATTATTTTTTGATTTTTCTGCAAAACAGAAATCGCGTAGTTATATTTGATTGCGTCTTGATAGTCCAAGTTACCTGTGATGCTCTTTATAACCGAGCCGAGTGCATCAACCAAGGCTCTCTTATCTCTACGCACATTATGATAACTTAGCGAGCTATACTTTGTATGGATCAATGCCAACTTACCCAATAGCGCTTGTCGGATCGCGACCGAGTCACCGATAGTTGCCGGGTCGATTACGCCGACATAGCTTATTAGCGAAGCTATATGGCTCTCTATACTATTTATGTAGTTACTAAATAAGCTTAAGTCGTAATAATGGATAAATGTATGTTTACTAATTTCTAACTTGCAGGTACCTAACTTAAATGGTAGTATACCAGGATTATTGGTCAGGGGGGTCAGGGTCACGTGATGTGCTTGGGCCAGCACCGGAACCAGCATCCTGAAATTGTTTTTGTTTAGAGGTTTCCTAACATTACGTTTGTGATACGTAACGTCTCTGCTATCCAATATTTTAATACCTAGGTCTCTTTTAACTTTACGAGTGACATATCGGGGTTGAGTTTTGTGCCGAGCCGCAAGTGGGTTTTTAGAGTAAAACTGCGTATTTTCCGGATAAGTTTCAGGTTTTTTCTTGGATTCGTTATGTTTTGTCATAGTTCGTGTTTGGTTTTCTTGTAAAGTTTTATTTATATTTGCATATAAAGTTGAAGTTAATTCTTTGTGTTTATCGACATAGTTTTGTAAACAAGTCGTCTCAATACTGATATCAAACGGATCCCTATTGTTTAGGTGTCCGTTTATTATCTCCACGGGCTTTTTATTCGTTACAGAGTGTATAGAGTTATTATATCCGAGTATAGCGTACAGCATAAGCTCCGGCGTATTAAGTTCAGAGCGGGTCTGAGATAAAATTCGAATATGTTCAAGTAATGTTGAGTGGAGTCGTTCCACTGCACCGTTCGACTGTGGATTATTTACGCTGATAAAATGAAGGTTAATTTTATGCAATTGGGCAAATTCCTTTATGGGTAAATTTTTGAATTCGGTCCCTTGATCTGCGATAATGCTTAAGGGCAGGCCGTGATGAGTCATGAATATAGTTAAGGCATTAAGCACACATACACCGGTTAAGCTCTCGAGCGGGTATGCTTGTGCGTATTTGGAAAAAGTGTCGACGATCGTTAGGAATTTTTGTCCTTTAACAGTTAATGTATCAATGTGCAATACTTCGAAAGGTTTTTCGGGAATCGGGACAATTTGGAATGCTTGTTTGTTTGGGTGCCTTTCGTATTTACTAGTCTGACATATTTCGCAATTATTTATATATTCGGTTAAGAAATTTGTTAATTTTGGCCAATAATATGTTCTTTTGATACGTTGTTCCACCTCTTGAATGCCTCTATGATTTGTTTTCCCTTCGTGGTAATTTTTTGCTATTAAAAACTGACGAACCCTGTCAACAATGTCTTCCAATAACATTTTATGAAATGTTAGCTTAAAAGCAGAATTACTAAAGGTTTCTTGCAACGTGTTTGTTATCGATTCGTAATAAAATGGATTTGACAGCCAAATGCCGTATTTGATGTTGGGTCTAATGAATTCTTTAAACAGTGATATTATTTCGGGTTTTATACTACTTTCCGAAATCTGAGCTACGATTCTGCGTTTTCCGGGAAATACATTTGATATAACTGGTTTGGATGGGGAGTGATGGACAAAATAGATAAGTAACTGATTATTACATGAGTTAATTGCGTTTTCAGATATTGGGATTTCTAAAATTGGGTTTTCTAATTCGGTATGTATGGTCATTAATTCCTCTAAATCTGAAAGTTCGGGTATCTCGGTTCGCGGATTTGCAATAATAGAAATATTTTGTTCACCTACTTGCTCGTCTTCGGAATCTAATAAGGGCGTAACATCATTATTTTGAATCTGAATCCGGGATAATGCATCTGCGTTTACGTTAGTTTTGCCTTTTTTATAAGTGATTTTATATTCAAATTCCTCCAATTTTAAGCGCCACCTTATTAATCGAGAATTGGCGTCTTTCATGTTGAACAAATATTGCAATGGTTTGTGATCTGTTATAATGTTAAAGCTTCTGCCGAACAAATAGGGTCTAAAATACTTGGTCGCCCAGACGATGGCCAGTAATTCCTTTTCGATCGTGCTGTAATTTTGCTCGCTATCATTCAAGGTACGCGACGCGTAGGCGACGGGCTTATCTGTGCCTATGGTTCCTTGGGACAGAACTGCACCTACAGCGAAGTTTGAAGCGTCTGTACGGAGATTAAATTCTTTTGAGAAATCTGGGTACTGTAATACAGGGTCATTCGTTAATATTTGTTGACATAATTTAAAACAATTTATATATTCCGGATGAGTGATATCAATTTTAGATCCTTTTTTTAAACATCTAGTAAATGGCTTTGTCAAATGCGCAAAATTTGGAATAAATTTCCGGTAGTATCCCAGTAATCCCAAAAACGATTTTATTTCCTTTTGAGTCTGTGGAATCGGGAATTTGAGTATGGCGTCGACCTTTTTTGGGTCGGGTTTGACACCATTTGGCGTAATAATGTGGCCTAAAAACGCGGTTTCCCTAGTAAGAAATTCGGATTTATCTAATTGCAGTTTTAAATTGGCTTCTCTTAGCCTTTGAAATACGGCTTCCAAGTTAGCGATGTGCTCACAGAGCGATACACTGTAAATTATAATATCATCCATGTATACCATGACGTTATTAAGCCCACGCAGTACAGAGTCCATAACACGTTGGAATGTCGACGGAGCGTTCTTTAGTCCGAACGGCATTCGAAGAAATTCATAATGACCGCGATAATCACAGTCTACACTGAATGCTGTTTTTGCGATGTCATCAGAATTTAGCTCAATTTGGTAAAATCCGGAAAATAAGTCTAGCACGCTAAAGTACTGACTGCGGCCTAATTTGTCTAAAATGTCGTTTATGTTAGGTATAGGATATCTGTCACTTATTGCTTTCTCGTTGAGTTTTCTATAGTCGATGACCAGACGCCACTTGGTTTTACCTGAGGCGTCGGCCTTTTTGGGGACAATCCAAATTGGGGACGACCATGGACTATCTGACGGCCTAATTATGTTTTGTTTCAGCATTTTTTTTATTTGCTCGGACACTTCATTTTTGTGTATTTCGGGGTAACGATAATTTTTGGTGAAAACTGGCTCATTGTCAGTGGTTTTAATATTGTGTTTTATTTTATTTGTAAAAGTCAAAGGTGAGTTTTCCGTATAAAATATGTCACTATAATTTTTACACAAACGAAGGAGGTTTGCCTTTTCTTCGCAGTTTAAGTGGTCGGTCCGTAATGAAGACTCTAGGTCTATATAATGTTCAGGGGTTACACACTCAAAGTTATGAATGGAAAAGTTATTTTTTATTAATTGAGCTTGCACCGGAGACGCTAAGCTGATTATGGTGTCGTTTTTAGTCGGATTTTTAATTTCAACGTGAGCGAAACCCTGCGCTGCTCTTGTGATAACGTCGGGAATGTAACATTGATTTATATATGTTTGAGGTAAAAAGATATCACCATCATTAACGGAGACAGGAATCTTAACTGGTTTGCTACTATTTGCTCGAATTAAAGCCTCGAAAAGGTTTCTCACTCCTGACTTTAGCATGTTTATGTCATTGGTAGCGTTCGCTGTTATCAATTGTTTATTGCAGAGATCAACTTTCGCTTGTAATCGCTCTAACATGTCGAGTCCAATAAGTCCATCGAATACATTATGAAATTTATATATATAAAATTTAGACATCGAATCCTCTCTAAATTCGGGAAATGTTGGAATATCGATTGTGTAGTTATTTTGGGTAGTAACATGTAAATTAGTTACGCTAAACGGTTCATAATTTACTCGGAAATGTGGGTAATACCTTTGTATTGATTCGGGTGACAAAAACGATTGATTTGCACCGGTATCAATCAGTAATTTAAGCGGGGGCTCTTTGATTTGAATATAAGGAAGCTCCCGTTTTATGTGAACATTAATTTCCATCATCCGTGGTTCATTTCCTCCGGAGCCTGGTAAAAATTTTCATTGGGAATGTCTTTAACAAAGTTAGACGAGTCGTTCTCGTTTTGATCTAGTTCACATGTTTCGTTTTCCGGGAATTCCGGACATTCCGGATATTCCGGATATTGCGGTTGCGCTTCCGCTGTTTCCTCGGAATGCAATTCTTCAAATAAGAAATTAGGATTCTGACGAACTGGTTGGAAATGATTATAATTCGATGGTCGCAATGGGATATCTCTAGATCTGTAAGATAATCCGCTCATTGGCTGTGGTACGGCGTTGTTACGATTGATATTAGAATTATATTGGCTGTTATAGTTATTGAAATTGGGCTTATTTTGGGGATTTTGTACCCACTGTGACCTTGGGAAATTAAACGGATTGTTATTGAATGCATTTTGACGATTTTGACCAAAGTTAAATTGATTGTTTCTAGGAAATTGAAATTGGCGATTTTGATTTGAAAACGGGTTGTTTTGCTGGTTTTGATATAAAAAATTATTAACTCGGCGATTTTGGTTTATAAACGGATTATTTTGCGAAAAAACATTTTTACCGAAATTGTTTGGTTTGTTTTGAGGTGGATGTAACTGTTGTTGTTTGTTAAAATTAACGAACGAGTTGTAACTTGAACGATTATTTTGTAGATATATAATATTTTGCTCTTCTTTAATTGATTCAATTGCTGTTGGTAAATCGGCGGGCCTCATGGCTCGGATAGTAGAGCCTAGCGGCTCTCGCAAACCGGCCAAAAATGTTTTAAGGGTTTGCGAAGTGAAAAATTCGCGTTTACACGATTTAACAGTTGGGTCCACTTCATGTAAATTCACATAATTAATGATAGTATGTAAAAGATGCATGCAGCGATCATAAAAATCTTGGGGAGAGCTATTGTCTTGACGAAGGTTTATTAAATCCCTGGTTAATGAATTTTCATCGCGTTGATCGGAAAAATTTTGTAACAAAACACGCTTAATTTGCTGCCAAGTAGAGGCTCCATTGATGGTAACAACCTCCTCGGCCTTGCCTTTCAGTTTTCCTAATAAAGAGTATAGAACCATTTGGTTCTGGAAGACGTTTTCCTGCTGGTCATCATAATATTGCTGTAAAATAGCTTCTGATGTAGTAATAAATTTATGAAGTTGATTTGGACTACCATCGTAATCAGGAACGATGTTAATGGCGGCTCTAAATAAACCAATTTCCATTTTTCACAAATATAGAATTTGTTTCAGTTTAGTGTAAATTAATAAAATCACAAAAAGTAACACTAGAGTCAGAAAAATTCGAACGATTCCGGTCTTTCTGGTCTGGTCTAACACAAAATACACAATAAAATAATTAATAAAATGTGGATGGGATAATGTAAGGAATCTGGCACTTACAGAACTATGAACTGCGGCTGCATTCTCAGCGATATTAGCTCGTAGGTTTCAGACGAAATTCACAACTTTGATGATCGAAAGAAGCGGATTTTTCGTCATCCACAAGACTGCGCCAATTATAACTTTTAAGTTTAAATAGAACTTTTTAAAAACTTTTAATTAATAATAAATGGGTGAGTACCGATTTTGGTGGATGCTCAACGACTTCTGAAGCCTGGGCTGCGAAGCTCCGGTGAGGTGTCTGTTGGTGTCAGCATTTCAGCCTGCGCCGCCCGCTCTCCTTATTATGAAGTCACAGGTAGGTCCATACATAACACGCGCGGACCGTTACAAAGTCAAGATGCCACTGAACTCCGCGAAAAAATGCGAAAATAATACTTAGAGAGTAGTCAATGTTTGTTAATTAACGCATTTGAAGTTTTTGATCTAATACTTACTATAAACTGATTTAATATAAAATATTTGTGATATTCAAATGCATACACACACACACACACATATATGGTATGGTAGGGTAACCAGTTTCTCGTGATTTTTGATTGTGGATAGACGTGTCTCTGCCATGGATCGTCGTAAAAAACTTATTGCTTATTTGTTATTAAGAAGACATTACTCTGCTTTAAATATACGACAAAGAAGATACTGGATACATCCATTTAATAAGACTATGAGTCCCGATGGGGAGTACTTTTCTCGAAAATACAAAGCATTAAAGATAGACGAAAACAAATTTTTCGCCTATTTTAGGATGAGGGTATCATCATTTAAACAGTTATAAAGCGGGTTATCTAAATATATACAGACAAAATATTGAGAGGAAGGAAACCAGGGCTTGTTTACCGGTTAATTTTTAAACCTAAATCAGTATCTAATACATTAGGAGCGTTTTATTTAGGTTTGGTTCTACCTTAACCTTAAAAAAACCGGTTTTCCTAAAAAGCGAAATCAAATAGGTTTTGAATCAATTTAGCGGTTTTTAAAGGGTTTCATTTCACTCTTACTGACGGCATCGCCTTCGCCGTTTCAATTCAAATTTATAATGATTTTATGTCAATTTCTTTCCAACTACAGAGCGAGTGAGTGAAGTAGTGTGTCAATACACAACTACAAAATGAATAACTTGACTCACTAGACGCTAGCAATGGTGTCAATAAATGCATCAATCTCTGAGCATTAACAAGTTGTGACTTGATTAGTTCAAACAAAACAAACTTCAAGTGATGCCGACGCGTGCACGTGTCGCTCTGGATTAAACCGGTTAATTAAGGTATTTGTTTCTTAGCTTTTCACGCACATCACTCATTAATCGGTTAATTAAGGTTTTAGGTACCGCTTTCATTTTGGACGCGCTCCGAACGAAGCCTTTACTAAAAACCGGTATTAACCTTTATTTACCGGTATTTTCGAAACCGGTTACAAGCCCTGAAGGAAACCTGTTACTGCTTTGGAAATGCTGTGCTTGACTGTAAGGTCGATATCAACGTCAGACATTTTAATTTTAAAACTGCTTCCGGGTTGTTGTTTGGAAGAGTGATAGAAACAAACTGAATCATTGTCATGAAGTATGACGTCATAACACTGGAATTTGCGTCGCCAGTTTTAGCGACGCGGCGCCGCAACGCGGTGATGTGTTTAAGGTCTTAGTGGAATTCAAAGGAGAAAAATTGCTTCCGTTAAAAAGTGCAGCTGGCATAAGGTCTTTAGTTTTAATACTCCATGCAACGATATAAAATACACTAGATTGTATCTCAACACAAACAAAATCGTGTCCGTAACATGTCCAAAAGGTACATTGTTCGATCCACGGAGCTCCGTAAGATGATCGCCTTGTCAAAAACCATATAAGGCATTATTTAAACATTGAAAGTCACCTTTAATGCATACCGCATAAGGTCTTAATTAAAACACATGCGTCAAAGACTTCTGACAGATTGAAATGCAAGCTCGTAATGAATGAGTGTGAAGTAAATGAAATATTAACATGTAGTGACTGGCCCCGCCAGTTTGACGGTAGAAATTCTAAATATACACAGAGAATGGCTGTTGTTCTTTTAATATGTCCTGTAGTTCATTTATAATAATCTCACAGGAGCTTTAAATATTTCTGAGATCCGGGTAATAAATTATCTGTATGCCAAATTTCATTCACTATTGTTCAGCCATTTTTGGGTTATTCAGTAATAAAGTTACGAACATACAAACTTTCATGTTGTTTTACTATTATCTCGGTTGACACTTTTTAAGGGTTCAATTAAAGAAGAGGAACTTACAGCATCATACTGTGGGTTCTCAGCCAAGGCATCAGCAAGGGACTTGTTCGGTACAAGAGTCACTTGTCTTGAACACAACACGGGCGAGTCACCGTCCAATCCCGCTAGAGTTACGTTTACCTGGAATATATAAAAACGATAAGAACGGGATTTAAGGTGAACGCAGACTTGGCCGCACCGCAGTCTCCGCAGTCATCGCTTTGTGTTAATGGCCTCGCACTTCTATCCGCACCGCAGTCACTGCAGTCGTTCCCGTCGCCGCACGCATCGCACTTGATTTCTTTCATTCAGTTGATGTGAATGACGTCATCCGCGGCGCGCTAGCCGCAGCGTCCGCTGCGTGCGGGCCGGCTTGGTGACGTCATCAGCTGCGGCTTGGGGAGTTCGGTCGTTTCAGGGACTGCGGCGACTGCGACCCGGGTGGGTGTGCGAGGTTACATAGAACTTTATATAAAGAATTCGAAAGCGAAGACTGCGGCGCGTGCGGTGCGGTCAAGCCTGCGTTCACCTTTATCATATTTCTTTTGTTAAGTAAAATTCACAGATATTTCTTTGCTATGCAAAAGAGAGGTAGGGGGGGTGACCTGTTCTGAGAGGGGCATGGTTGGTCACAGGAGGGAGCCTTTGGTTTACATCACAGTGGTTTTCATAACTGAAGTGATTACATCAGTTACCCCTTAAAATATTTTTTTGTGCATCACGGAGCAAAAGTTTGCAATATGGTGAGGGTTTTTAAAGCTTTTGGTCAGGCTATGCTTAGGTATTTATATAATTCATTTCGTTAGTTTGTAAAGTAATTAAATTAAATATTTTAATTTTATTTTTTTATATTTTTTTTTTGGGAAACAATATTTTATTACATTTAGATAAATTAAATATAGAATGACATACATTATCAAAGTTTCCACTAACAATTAGTACAGTTATGAGCAGCTGTGTATTTAATAAAAAATCATATAAAGTTAAATTAAATACGACATTAATTGAATTGAAATAAAAAACAAAAAACAAAAACAAAGCAACAGAGAAGTTTACACAAATCAAATTGACAAATAAATAAGTTTTAATAATAACAGTTCATTCATTCAATTACATAATTTAAAAGTTTATGTATTCATTAATTCCATTTTTAAACATATCAATGAAATTAAATCTTAATACATAACATTCGTATATCCCTTACAGGCAATAATTCCAGCACATTTCTGGCTAGGCATGCGTCCGATATATCAAAACGAATCCAAAATCCGATTTCAAACACAAATCGATACCGAACGATTTCTCAACAAGAAAATCCGATTTCAGAAATCTAACCGAACCAAAACCAAATACCACAAGTATCCAAATCTAAATCGGATTCGAAATTCGTGTTTTCGTTTTCGGAAGTAAGATTTCGTGCTCGGAACTCCGATTTCGATTTGCTGTTTACGGAAATCTATTGCTGTTCTCTGAGGCGGGATTATTTATCACTGAAAAGATATGTCTTCTAAAAACATCAAAAGTCGAGCAACTTACATTTTTGGACGCTAACCTGAAGTAATTAGGTTTGATTTTGTAAATGGTTTGAAAAATAATAAAAACAAACAGAATAACAAATAAAAATACTAAAAAATATGTAAAAAGAAATCATTGTATAAAAGCAGAGTTTTAAATGCGCCGCAAAAGTTTTACTCTTAACTGTAAACATAACTTTTCTGCTAGTCCTAAGCCTAGATTTAAAGCATGAAGGAAAATCGCGAATATCTACGAGTATCCTTGCTTCCTACAATTAATTGTTTGTGATTGTCGTTAGCTAATAAAACCAAATCATAACACAAACTAGTGAATTGGCTAAGTTCAGCACATCTGAAATCGGATATTTAAAAACGGATTTTAAAATCGATTTTAAAATCTGAAATCCGATAAATATCCGTTTGCGTTCAAAACCAAAAACGCCCATGTCTATTTCTGGCATTACATTTATTTTTTGTAGAGTCATTGGTGTTTTAAGTTAAAACTTATTTTAATAACTCACTCCACCCCTTCTAAGCATATCCACTGTGATCACAGTCTCCATCTCCTCAGCACCCTGAGCCAAGATCACGAGAGCAGTTTTAGACATGGCTGGGCAAGTTGATAGCAAACTGAAACAAATTAGTTAAGATTTTTTATTTATTAATGGAGTTATTATGATAATTATTTTATTGCTGCCAGCCTATTGGGCATTCCTGATAACGGTGCCAGGGGTGACATATTTTTTATTTTGTAAATTATTTATTTAAGTAAGCAAGTAGGTTAATCTATATAGTTTTTACGTTTGTGTTCTTTAAGAATAGAATAGAATAGAAAGCTTTATTGTCATGCTGAGTTCAATGGTGTTACAAGTAATTTCTTAGTTCTAGACAGCTGTCCGTTTCGGACGTACAATATTCATTATAGGTGGTAAATGCTATTAAAAATTTCGAAAATACTCTTTTAAATTATAAAAACATTTATCTATTAACCATTTCTTTAATTTAATTTTAAATTCCAATAAATTTAAATCTTTAATGTCATTGGGCAAATTGTTAAATATTTTAATTCCACTTATATAAGAGCTTTTGTCAAATATATAGCTAGTCGATAATGCAGTATTCATGTCATTTTTATATTGAGCTCGTATATTAGCTTTAGTCAGTTTTTTTTTACAAAAATATTCGTCATGATTTTTTACAAACACACATATTTCAAATATATATATACAAGTCAATGTTAGGTATCTATATTTTATAAATACTGGTCTTACAGATTCAAGTGGGTCAATTTTAAATATAATTCGCAAACACCTCTTTTGTAAAATAAATGTAGAATGAGCATTTACCGATTAAATATGTCTCATAAAATCAAATTTACATAATACAATTCGATGTTGACCATAAAGAAAAAATATTTTACTTTAATAAGTACAATATATGTACAACGTGTAACAGAAATAATACTTGAAAGTATAGTATATAGTATTTTTAAATTTGACGACTCTGTATATAATACAGGGAGAAAAACAGCCTTTGCTGAGTTTCTTTCTTGTTCTTCTCGGTACAAGGCCAGCCGCCGTAGATTTGAGAACCGATGGCGTAGCTTTTAGGCATTCACAAGTGCTTGTAACAGCCTAGACTGAATAAACAATTTTTGAATTTTATACAAAATATACAATTGAATCCATTTAATTTATTTTTATTTGATCAATTTAAAGAGTGATATCTCAATGTACAGTTGTTTACAAGGTAATATTAAATAGGCAACTAAGATTACAGGCCCATTGTTTAGTGTTTACAAGAATGTCAAAAAGTAACATGTCTCTTGAAGAATTTTTGACTAATTTATACATAGTTTACTCCGTAAGAAGATAATTAGATACGTCGTATACCAGCAAGATTACTCTGTCCTCTTTTCGTTTTTCTTCCTCCTTTCTTTCGAGATCTTGGTAATAAATAACCCTTTTTGTTTTAATCTAAGTAAATAACCTGAAACCGGCTTCCGGCGTAACAGTTAATAATGAAGATTTAATATTCCAACTCACCTCCGTTGTGCAACAAATTTTGTAAAAGACAAATATCTGTCGAATTTACACGGCTGAAATAATGATTTTGTGAGAAGAATCCTTGCAAAAAGCATTAAAAGGTTTTTTTGGAACTGAGTGACAGTTGAATTTTGACACTTGATGACACATGAAGGTCGTTTGGTTCGTTCTGTTCACGTCACAAGTCACGTAAGCAAATTAAACGAAACGTCGCATTGAGATTTTTTCATATATCTTCTTTAATGAAATCCTCACCAATAGTCATGTTACGTATCTTCTATAATAAAATCCTCACCAACAGTCATTGTACAGATGTTGCTCAACCTATATGAAAGTGACAAACAACCTCCGTCCTGTACCTCTCATGACGTCCGATCCGTGCTTCAGTAACTCAAACATTTGAAAGAAGAAATAGCAATTCAAGTTATAATTTGAATTTTTTAAGCATGTAACTGCTCGATGTTTGAATCTAAAGAAAATATTACAAGAAAAAATAAAAAAAGACATTTAAAAATTTCCTAGTAATATTTTCTTTAGATTTAAACATCGAGCAGTTAAATGCTTAAAAAATAAATATATAAAGAATGTTTGTTTTATATATATATATATCATGTGTATCTTTATCTAATTTTATCACTCGCGACCAAACTTCGTGCTCATTATGATTGACCTGCTGCCATCTTGATCGAAATACGTGCTCTCCGTGTGATGTGACAGTTGCCAACTAACTGATTGAGAAATTGCCCCGGTCGCGCTACACACGCGACAACGTGCAGGGTGGCAGGGACAATCTAGGTGGTCTCGCGCTCTGTCGCCCTGCCGCGGCCCAATTTAGAAAATTGCCCCTGCTACTCTACACACATCACAATTAAGGGTCATCCCCACTCTTACACCGTAGCTTGCCCCTTTGGCAAGGATGTCAGTAGTCCGCTTTATGTTGTACGTGGAGTGTAAGTACAGAATGAAGCTTTGTCTTTTATTGTACACTCTACCTTGTCTATTCATTAAAATCGCTTCCTTTCTTCTTCTTTCATTCGTTGAATGTCAGTTAGAAAAAAAAACGCAAAATTAATTATATTTTTAGTTTTATTGTAGGAAAACATTAAATAAATTTTGGCGTATTAATTACTTTTAAGTGATCATCATTGGTTCATGTGAAGTAGTGTTAATTATTATGGCAGTGCTTAAAAGAAAATATAGTTTTTAGGTTATTTGCCTAGAAAACGTTATAAATAGTGCTCCAAATAATCTGCTCTTGTGTGATTTTTTTGGGAATTTAACATGGATTTCGTGAAACGAGAAGACCAAAATATTATCGACGAAGAAAATTACAAAATTTATATGGAAACAGTGAGTTTTCTTTTGACGAAACCTTAAAGATTATTTTTTAGTTTTACATAAATTACCAGGAATATAATTTAGAGGTTTTTTTCACCCGTTTTGATTTGTTAAAAGTAAACTTGTAATTTTTATCAATATCAACCCAATCTGAAATGCCAAAATTGAGTAATCATGATCATCTGTTCACATCCACAATTCCAATGGCACTTTTATGCCTGTGATTTTATAATTAATAAAATATATATAGTATATTAAATTCCTGCAGTACCTGCCTATGGGTTGAGCCATGACATCATTAGGTTATATAAAAACAACAAGAGTAGAGCAATAACTAAGCATAATTACCTAAATACCATTACAAAATAATGTTGTTCCAATGTTTTCCTTCCTACTTCTTTCTTTACTTCATCAATAATTTTGACACTGTTACTTTATCAGGCAGTCGCTTATTTATAGAGCAATGGGGATTTTCTGTTTAAATTGGTACACTCTTCTGCAAAAATAATCTATACCTTAGCATAATAACTACCATTTACGTGCATTGTGTTAATGTTGGTGATAAATCTTCCTCAGCTTTTGCTTTGTATAAAAAAGTATTAAAATTGTCATAATTCAAGAAACATCTTTTTAGAAGTTGTGTGAAAATTGGTTTTCTAAGAAGGCAATGAAGTATAGATGGTTCGAAACGAATTATATTAATGGTCAATAGGGGTGATAATGGGGTACAGTAAACGAAATTCTATTTAGTCCGTCAGTTATATGATCAAAAAATAATGGACACATATTTTTTCTTTGGACAATCAACCAAAAAATAAAGTTATAACGTGTCAAAGTTTGGGAGTAGGTGCACGTGACGTCACTTTTAAGTGAAAATTGTACCAAAATGTGACATCATGCAACTTTTAAAATCAATATATCTCTGCAATGTTTATATTATGTGAAAACAGAAAAAATATGTGTCCAATACTTTTTGATAATCTACCTGATAAACGAAGAAAAAAAAATTTGTTAAAAAATTCCCTATTCCAAATGAATACCAAAAGTAAACAAACACTTTTACCTCCTAATTCCCATGCAATTTCTCAACATATTCATTTGCATTTCTAGGGGTTTGGCTTATTAATTCACTATCTTTTATAGCACTAATTTCTTTATAAATATAGGAAAAATTTAAAACAAAAACTTGTGTCGAAAAATAAGGTTATTTTGTAAGATGGAAATTGTCTGTTGTCCTTGGTTGAACAGAGTTACACCGAAAAGTCTATTCAATATGATTTCAATTGACGTTAGTAATCAAATAGTGAATCAATTATTTATTCAAACTGATAAATGACATAATGAATAATACAGTGTATGGAACATAATTTTTGTGTTAATGCAAATATCAGCAATTATGTTGGTATTTTGTTGTTTAATTACGGATTGTATAAATCATGCAAACCAATATTTCAAAAAGAATTGTAAATACAGTTAACAGCCTTAGTTCTTTTTTGAGTAATGACGATAACAAATTATTAATGCTACAAATTAAGCCTTATAGAACTTTAACAGTTTCTTTTCAATTGATCAATGAAATTGATTTTAATTAGGCTCCATGAATCCCCATCACTGAACTGTCTATGGTCAGACTGACCTACCTCTTTGTTTACTTGTGGTCTAAATTTGTTGAGAACCGACTTTATATACAAATTGAGGGAAAAGAAAGATATTTTTCAGTTTCCATCTCTTTCGTCTCTGGACTTCTTTGGCAATAGAATTTGTAGCCCATTAGCTTAATCAGTATATATAAAAGGCGACCGTTACTGAGCTAACCACAGCTTTAACTACTAAATGGACTGTGCTGTCATTTAACACATATAGCTATAGGGGTGACGACATGGTAATATAAATGAAATTCTATTCATAAATTTAGTTCATCAGTTTGATTATCAAAAAATGTTTGATCAATCAACCAAAAAATGTCAAAGATAAAGTTTGGAAGAGGGGGCTTGTGGTGTCGCATTTTAGTAAAAATAGTACCAAAACATGACGTCATTCACGCGACATTACAAATCAATATATCTCTAATGTTTTGATTATGTGAATAAAGAAATAATATGTGTCCAATACATTTTGATAATCTACCTTAATAATTTCTAATTAAATCTAATCTTTTGCAGTTGCAAAAATCTCATCAAATGGAAGCTCAGGATTACCAACACACACCGATATCGATGGAGCAACTCCACCAAGCGATGCAAACATCTCTAAACGGTACTATCATGCATAACTTCCAGTTACCTTTGTCTCCACGTCAGATGTCTACCCTAATGTTTAAGACCAACCACCTAAGTCGTAGTTTGAACTTCAACGAAATCCCAGCACACCTGCAGCGCAACTTAGAATTAGACCTCATTCACAACTTATCAGATATGCCTCAGAATTTACGGCACGACGATTTGCTGGGCAGAAATTTAGATTTGAATTTATCAAGGAGTTTGGCAAATGAAATGGAGTTGCAGAACAGTTTAACACAGAGTTTAGTGCAGAATATTAATGAGAATTTGATTTTACCTGAAGGGTTGACACAGAATCTAAGGAATGAGGTGCATGATATGAATCATGAAATTGATCTTTCACATCATTTGAACAGAAATATGGAACAGCAGGAGATTTTAAATCATGAAAGAAGGACACCTATACATTGCGCACAAGATGGGCATATATTGGAGCAGAGCTTGGTACAAAGGTTGGAGCCTGGTTTACATCAAAGCTTAGGGCAAAGGTTGGAACAAACATTGGTGCAGAGGTTAGATCAGAGAGTGGAGCACACTTTAGGACAGAGATTAGAGCAAAGCTTGGGCCAGCGGCTGGACCAAAGGCTGGATCAAAGGCTGGGTAGTCAGAACTTACATTTGCATGACAACCAGCGGTTAGAGAATGATCATTTATTACCGATGCCATTCCACATAAAGTCAGAGCAAGAAGATGACGGTTACTTCTATGAAAACATTAACCAGCCCCTACCTAATGTTAGCAGTATTAATGGTAAGTAATTTTATTAAGTTCATGATTTAAATATTTTTTTTGAGTAATTTAATACAAATATTGACCGTAGATTTAAACCACTGAGCATGCTGATGAGAAACAGCATATGCATGCTGCTCTACTGCATATGCCTGTGACATGCCCCAAACGTCCCCATATGTCTTTTACCAAATTTGTCATCCGTTTGTGACTTCACTTCATCATCACAGCCTGTTTGTGTCCCCAATTCTGACACAGACCCTCCACCATGTGGCTCCAGTTAGGATTGGTCATCTAACGTGCAACTAAAGAGCCCTTTCACATTTTTTGCAAAATATCGTAATTTTGAGCGATTCGTTTACCCCCACAGAAAAGATTTTGACTACTTCCAATAGAAGTAAACAGTAGATTTATTCTTCCTATTGTAAGTTAATGTAGAATATTTGCAAATATGTACTATTTTTTTTTGTACTGATCGTTCTACCGCAGCTAATTTATGGAAAAGACCATTATGTTCAATAAATTAGATTAAATTAATTACTACAACATCAGAAATATGTTTTTGTTGTAACATAATGTATGAGAATTTTAATTTTCCATCTCATTAACTATCCAAAAAAAAACATCTAACTTCCGTGAGTTTTCCAAATAAAATAATGTAGGTGTTGATATTGTTTTGTTATTGAATTAAATAGAATTACCATCAAAAACTTTCATAAAACTAATCTAGCATCATTGAACTACTGTAATTAAATATTATTAAATACATTTTTATAATTAGTTCATTAATAATTATTTTATAAGACTCGAAACATCACCCGTAAAATGCAATATATACTAGTGTAAATCTACCTACGCGCCGATGAGTACGGCAGCGGCGCAACTTTGTGAAAGTGCTCTTAAAGTGCCTTGCCGTGAGAGGTGCAGGCGGCGGGCGCTTGTAATTTTGACAAGAATGTGCGCCGCCCGGTCCCCTTTTTCGTCATGCCCCACACTTTTTACCCTGCAGGCACGGACACAGTTAAGCGGTCTATAAGTCGCGGCACGAAACTCTAGCGCTGACCGTCATTGCACAGAAGTCGAAATTAAGATGTGTTGGGGGGAAACGAGGTGCGCGGGTGGGCGTGCGTTGCGCCGATTGGCTCTCCAGTCGTACCCATGCGCAGCTATCCCCTCCGCGTTTTGTTTAGATGGTCTTATTTTTAACTTTATCAAATGTCTTCCTTGGCGCTATTTCACCAAGTCGACATAATGTATGTCACACAATTCGATGTTTGGCTCTCGACGATCTCCTTCTCGAAAATTAGATATATGTAAAAGAAATTTTACCCACACAACAATAGGTAGTTATACTAGGCCTCTATATTTTGTTTTTTTTTTGTAACTATAAAATTTATTGTAACTTTATATATTTATATTCTAAATGATGTAATTCACTTCAGACGTATCTCTGAAGTCATTTTTTAACGACTCTGTATATAACAATACAGGGAGAAAAAAACAGCCCTTGCTGAGTTTCTTGCCGGTACAAGGTCTCCCGCCGTAGTTTTGCGAACCGATGGCGTAGCTTCTTGACCTTCACAAGTGCTTGTAACAGCCTAGACTGAATAAATGACTTTTCATTTCATTTCAATGGTCATTGAATCTCCACAGTAGACGTCTTTAGTGGTGATAATTATTTTTTAATTTTGGTATTTTTGAGGTCTTCTAGTTTCTTTGAAACACTAGTTATCGAAAGAAGAAAGACATAGGAGCATAGAATGAGTAAAATTATATTTTATGCAAGAAAATCATCTCTTTAGTTACAAAAATCAAAGAGAAATCAGTGGAGAACCATTGTATGGAAAAAACATTGCCCGCCGCCCCTCTTAAAATAGAGTGGTTACTTTCTCTATGAACAGCACGTTTGGCAACGCAGGCCGCGGGAGGGGGGAGGGGAGGTACCTACAGTCAAAACCGAATATAACTCCATCGTTTATAACGACGTTTCGGTTATTACGACCAATAGGGAAGATGCATATATAATATTTATGAAAATTTTATGATTAAAATGTCAAAAAAATATAAAAGAAATGCCACTGCAACGTTTTTATTTTACATAATGTTGTTTTTTAACAATTATTACGAATTAAAAATACTTGAAACGGAACGTATTTTAAAACACCAATCAGCGTTTAGTGACGTCAGTCCTGTTATGACAACTTCTTTGAGGTTATGGTTGTTAAAGTAAATATTATTTTATGGGAATATTTATTGCGTTTTTTTACATTTAATAAAAATGGAAGTTGCGTTTATCAAAGCAGACTCCAGGAATTTACCAAGAGTTAGCGTTGACATGGTTATAACTTTTTTTGTCCAAAGTGCAGAGTTTTTAAGTGTAGAAATGAAAGGGACTATATTACTACGGTATGTAAAAATCGTAGTTTATTCGTATTTTATTCAGCGGCTTCTACAAATCTTACGGCGATAATGCAATCGGCTATGTCCAAATTAAAAGAGATGGAAAATTATGTACAGTAAAAGGTCGAGTTCTCCGGAGCATAAAGTACGTAAAGAAGGTTATCGTGTTACAGTTATTTAAAATGAAACGCAAAGCTTGGTTCAGTCCGGCCAATGTGAAGATTGTGCCACATATTTTAACTTTATCTAATTTTCGACGTCATTCTCCAACTGTAAAATTAAAAATATGTTATAGACAAGTTTTGTAAGTATTAGGTGGTGTATAGTTACTAATGCGTTTTTACGTACAAGCAGATTAATTAAGCATATAACAAGTATATTCGCCGACTTACATCAAAGTGATCTTCTCAGCATCGAATAATGGTCTTTGGAGAATAATTGTCATTTCTCTTCGCAGCTTGAAACCACTTTTTTTTCAGTTTTGGGTCAGAAGTTCCAGTCAAAAACAATTTATTTGGGAACTTTGTTGAAGTAGATTGGCACAAAACATGAGTCAACACGGCTTTTTTTCGGAATATTAGTGGTATTGTTATGATCACATGATGTTGATGGATAGTCCATTTTAAATTTTTCAAAAAAATATTTCGAAAGTCGAAAAAATATGCAAAAGTATGAAAATTTAAAGCCAGCAACGAACAATTACGACCAGTGACAGACAGGAGTGACGTCATCGCAACCATAGGTTCGTTTTCGCGCGAAAATTTAAATTGTCAATTTAAAACCGCATTTTTCCGATAAATCACAATGTTTTAATTTTTTAATATATCCGTGGTTTATTCTACATGGAATTCTTTAAAATGAAAACAAAAATAAAAATATTGCATCTTCCCTATTGGCAAGGTCCCGATCGAAACCCGATATAAACCCTTATGAACACAAATTGCCTACAACAACACCGGATATAGCGAAATACCGCTTAAAACGACCTATAGCCAATGAATATCGCCGCTAAAATTCATATCGCTATTCATCGGCTATAACGACCAGCCGTTTTACTTGTTCCAGCAATACAAAATAAAATGTATGTAGAGTCTGTGCGGAAAGAGAATGGGCGTGGCGAAAAACGGAACTAACATTAAGATTTTTATTTGGCAATCAAACCCACCAATCTGTAAAACGTCAAAGTTTTGTATTGATACGGATTTGTTTGTTGTTGTGATTTCTTGCGGTTTTTTGTATTTAATCATGTCTAAAAGGGGTAAAACCTTACAAATACGGTAGAAAAGCACTACAGCCACAGCGGTGACACTGTGTACGTGAGAGTTCCAGCGTCAGTGACCTTGAGCAGGAGCGTGTATGCGCTAGGGTTGAACTTGGAATTTAGACTTGTGCCAATGGATATTTATGCATAGTAAGTTATTAAATGTAAACTGATTCAAGGATACTGGGGTAAATAATGAAGGATAGGTTTGATTTTATAATCAATTTTTAATCTTTTAATGTAGGTACTATAACAAATTGCTAGCTTTTATATATTTTCTCCTTTTTCGATTCGTTTTATAATTCTTATTATTATCTAAATAATAATAAGATTGCGTAGCGTAGTCAGTCTGTGCGTGCAATGCAGTGCAACGCATTTTACTATTTGGCTACTGCCATCCCTTCGGTCGAGGCAGTCGGCGACTGCCCTCTCCACGCCCCGCGCGCCGCGCAACGCCCCCGCACACCTCCAGACACCCACACATAGCCGCGGGCGATTTTACGAGCACACAATGCTTAAGTGTCGCTTCTTTTCGCGTAGTGTATATATTCTGTGCTACAGCGCCCTCCAATCTAAATCCCATTCTCTTTCCGCATAGACTCTATTCAAAAATTTTCATAGTTAACATATTACTTCTTTTTTTGATATTTCATTTGAAAATAAGCTTATATTCACTATAGAGTACGATTATAGCGTACTCTACATACAGACTTATGACAACTTGTGTATATTGCTTATAACAACTATCGGACATAAGGTCCGAAGCTATATGGTCCCTTCAATGTCGTTATATCCGGTTTCGACTGTATTTACAAATCATTATGTTGACATTGTAACAACATAATGATTTGTAAATGTTGTTACATCTCGTTCATTTTTCTCCGCAGCTAAAAATAATAATAATAATGCTTTGTGGGATGTGGATTCGACGATCATTGTCCCTATAGTCGTTAGTGTATACGGTCTCATAGCGAAGAGTCTCGACCAACATATAAAGAGTCTCTCGCTAGATGGTTGGGTCAAGGGGCAAATGCAAAAGGCAGTACTCCTAGACACGGCGCGCATTGTCAGGAGGTTTCTTTCTCTGCGGCCCTAACCACCAGTAGCTTGGGCCTAGCTCCGCTGCTGGTGGCCTTCTAGGTTACGTTTTTTATACTATATTTATTTTTGTATTTACAATTTTGTATTTTAATTTTATATCTATTTCATAAAAAATCTAACTGTGAAATGAAATAAATTAGATTATAATAATAATAATAATAATAATAATAATAATAATAAATATTTCCAACACACACCAATTAGCCTAGCCCCAAAGTAAGCACTATAAGGCTCGTGTTATGGGATAGGTACTAGGGTA